GCATTGTAATGTTGGTTAATGTTTCATGTCTGTAGTGTCAAAATTCATGGTAGTCTTGTGTCTTGTAGTTATACTTTTTGAAGGAAAAAAATAATCTTATACACTGATCAAATAAAATAATAAAAAAAAATAAATAAATAAATAAAATGAAATAAAATTTGTGTACAAATAGAATAACCTGCAATGCGGTCTAGACTAGACATTTTTTAAGCTTTTTCAAATGGTAGATTTAGCTTCTACTATTAATACATTTTCTGATGTTTATGTTGTGTTCCTTTTCATGAAACTACTGCCATGTTTGTTAATTCAGTCCTGCACTTACACCCCCACTTAAAAGAAAGCGAGATTTTCAGTTTAATAAGCATGAAACAAGTTGCAGCTGTACATATCTGTGTGAATGCAGCTTATGGAAATCTAATGGTTGAAAATAAAGTGGCAAAACAGCTTCATACCTTGAAAGATGCTGCAACATGACATGCTTTTCTACATCTTGAACGGTTTTAAATAGCATTCTATTTCTTATAATGGTTCATTGTATTCTAATTATTGCTGCTTATGCAGTTTGACCTCATGTTAATTGAGAATTAACATTGAATATTTATAGGAGAGGCTGGGATAATTGTTACATAATTAATAACCTACTGTACAATGCACCATATTATACATGATCAGGTATGTGCATAAATAACTGCTCTACTCTGACTTCAAAAAGTGGACAGTTTGAAGACACAAACACTTATTTACAATTGTAAGGGAAACAGGTCAATTTAGCTCAAAGGGAATCATGCTTCAGGCTTGTGGCGCCAGGATCTGATTTACGAACCTCGTGTTTCAACCATGTTCTTGATCGAATCTTAAATTGTCTGATTCGGTCTGATACCCTACACAATCATTCAAATAATAAATACTTATCTAAAAAAAGTAGATGACCATTTTAAAACCTACACTTTCCTTAATAGAAAATAACTACATTGGAACACATTGTAATAGTAAAATATTTTAGATGAAAAAAGTTCATGTCTATTTGTCATCTTTTGAATTAAATAACTTTAAAGTTTTAAAGGATTTAAATTGATTTAAGGGAATAAAGACAATTCAAATAATTACAATTTATTGTAAAGTAAACAGTTTGAACTATTTGCAAATAATATTTATATTATTTTAAATTATACACACATTCACTCTTAAATGTGTACCTAATATATTGAAAATTGCTCTGTTAATGTAACTTATCTCATCACATTCAGCTATGAATTACATCAGTCACATAATTTATAGCCTACTTGAATTCAAAAGTAGTGAAAAAAGTGAAAAAGTGAAAAAAGTAGTTTGTATCACAGGACATTGCTGTCTGCCATTTAACATTTCTGTCATTAAACTGTGTGTGTGTGTGTGTGTGTGTGTGTGTGTGTGTGTGTGTGTGTGAACAGTAAAGTCTTCTTGGATTTGATTGGCCATCTCAGTTATTTTGACATTGACAAGTTCTGTTAGACCACTGAGGCAAACCAGCCTAAAAATGTGGACGATTGGCTGATATATCAGGCACTTTAAACTGAAGCTAAACTACCATCCAAAATTACAGATGATGAATTCATGTCTCTTTGAATCCACAACCTGAGGCACAGGTCAAACTTAACATATGAGAGATTAAGTGAGATTAGTGTCTAAGGGGAGAAAAAGAATGAAATTGACCCCAAAAGAAAGGCAAGTGTTTGTGACCTTCTTATAAGTGAAAAAAGGGGAGACAGAGAGGAGCTGCAATAAAACAAAAGATGATGCCTTGAAGTGCTCCAGTGAAGAGGGTAATAAGAAGGAAAAACCTCTCGTCACATGATCACAGCCATCAGAGAGATACAAGGAGAACAAAGAATGAGCCAAATGGAGAGAGAGAGAGAGAAAATCAGATTCAAGGACAGTCATAAGCTTGCTAAAAACTTGTGAAGTGTCTAGTTCAACAAAGGTTCATTTCCATAAAACTGTTCCCATTTTCTCTATTGAACTATGGAATTTGACCTATTCACAGGGTTATTGATTCCCAGAGGACAAATCTATTGCACAGATGTTGCCGTATCATAGCTCAGGAAACTTACTAGACTTTCCACAGTTAGGCAATATTTTAATTGGCATAACTTTGCTCAAGATGTCTCTCCATCTTGGGGCAGTCGTGGCCTAATGGTTAGAGAGTCTGACTTGTAACCCAAAGGTTGCAGGTTTGAGTCTCATTACTGGCAGGGATTTTTGCGCCACAGCAAAAATGTCTGCCCACTGCTCCGGGTGTTTGTTCATTGTGTGTGTGTGTGTGTGTGTGTGTGTGTGTGCTCACTACTCACTGCTGTGTGTGTGCACTTGGATGGGTTAAATGCAAAGTATGAGATGTCACATCACTTTCACTTTCCCGTAATTCTTTAGGAGAAGGGTAAAATGGGTACAAATACTTATATACTTATACTTATACTTATTTATCACCCTAAATCCTAGTACATCCCTACAACTTTATTTTATTTTATTTTATTTTATTCTATTCTATTCCTATTCTATCTATAGCACACCTGTACATACAATTTATTCTTTTTTTTGTGGTTTATATTTATGCATGTGTATTTTATTCACATCTTATTTTTATTATCTCTGTGTTGTTGTTGTCTCCGTGTACTGGAAGCTGTGACACTATAACAAATTCCTTGTATGTGCAAACATACTTGGCAATAAAGCTCTTTCAGATTCTGATTCTGGTTCTGATTCTGATTCTGAAATGTGTAGCCCATATAATTTGGCCTTGGAAGAATTTGATGAAAAATGAGGTTAATCAGATGATGGCTAATCAGTTAGTTAATGTGTTCCAGATATTGGGCCTTGGTGCTCAAACTAGATATGGGGGTTCAAATCCAGCCTGCAACGTGTAATGATTCCAATCCTCCTCTCTAATTTCACTGTCAATAAAATTAAACATTGTGGGCAAAATATTTGTCCTTATTGTGACTTACATCCGAGTTAAATTTCTTTTAGACCAAGAAAAAAATGTAAGACAAGACTTAATTTTCTCTATTGGGAGTTGATTAGATTGTGGAAAGTGTTGTCGTTTGCCAATTGCTGTGTTTGTTTAATTTGAGTGACAGGCTGCTGGAGGTAAGGAACTTGTCTGGCCACTGGACAGCTTTATTGTTTTATTGTGTACAAAAATTAGATTTGTAAATTTTGATTTAACAGTAACTGTAGGCTGAACCTAAGACCTCAGGGATTTCTTTCCGGAGACAAATAACATAGTTTGGGATATTATCTTTACTGTTGCTCCATTTCTTAAAATATTATGTTGGTGCTTCTGAGGCACTAGAGCTGTAATTTAGGTCAATAGTCTTTATGCGATTAGATTAACCACGATTCTTCTTAATGGGCTGGCTGGCAAATCCCAACTCTCTTTCCTACATCAAAAAGCTAATGCACCTGTTGCACTTAATGTTGCCCCTAATGCACATTTATCAAGTCACTATACTCTTATTTTGTAGGATGGGAAATACCATGCCTGTGCCATGAATAGCACTTACATATGTGGTATTTTGAGAGGATTTATTTCACTTTTTTTTGCAATCTGTATTTAGAATGAATTACTATGGATTCAGCAAACACAATAGCACTCAAATTGAGTAAAGCAAAATGTTTTGTGATGCTAGAGTACATACAGAAACAGAAAATCAATTATCATTCAATTAATGTAATGTAATGTGTGTGTGTGTGTGTGTGTGTGTGTGTGTGTTTCTCAACATTTCAGGTATGTTACATGACAGTAATATCCTTAATAATTTTATTCCTAACAAAACTTTTCTGTAATTTGGATTTGTAACTTTTTTGTATTTCTCCTATTTTTAATTCAATTCAAAAGTGAAGTGAACAAATATATCATTTTTAGCACATTGTGTTCTGTTGGCATTGATTGTTTACTTATAGCATTCATAAAAATGTGTTTATTCATTAGATTTTATGGTGAAATTCCAACCACAGCTCTTTCAGTGTTTCAGATATATTGAAAAACTGTTCGGCGTAGAAGTGTATGTAATGACCCTTCATAATGGGATGTTTGGCGGGACTGGACACAGTATCTCCTTGTGCTTGTTTACCAATATTAAGTGCTTATTTTTTTATCTAGCAGCTAATTAAAAATGTACATTTCATTTTTGAGTGAACTGTCCCGTTAATTTATTGCTTCCAAATTAGTTACAATTGTAATTAGGCAAAAAGCATTTTTTTAACTGGTAATGGAAGTGTGCAATTGTGTGTGACTTAATTATTGACACGAATCAGTTTCATCAGGAAGATCAAAAGGGCCTTTTTATTTGGTGTATCATATTTTAGGGATACTGAGATGCAGAAAGAAAAATGAGGGGAAGGGAGAGAGATACATTGGGGTTCGCAAACATTGTATCTGGGCCAAGCATGGGGCCTGTGTGATGAATTCTGCATAAATTGCATACGCTTTGAGCAATTCCCCATATTCTCCACCGGATAAGTTCACAATGTCATAATTCGTCTCTAATCTAATGAGCTTCAAAACTAGCAAAGCACAAATCAAATTTGGTTAGTGAAGGGAAGCTCTGAAATTTCATTCCAATGAACCTCTCCTGCCATTTTGACATATACAGGAAGGAGCTAATGTGATTAACTGCGGACACCATATGAATTATCTCCAATAATTTGAATTAAATGTGCCAGGTCTTGTGCTACTCTTTTTAGCTAATTAAAGTTCAGAGATGAAAAAATATAACACCTTTTCATAAGGTCATAAGAAGGTTGCCATTTATATGTTTTTTTTTTTTATATATACGAATGTAGCCGGGTAAGGTATAGCCCAGGTATGACTGGCTGATGTCATGCCAGCCTGTGAACCTATCAGTGTCCCTACTCCTTTTTGATTGGTTAACATGGTTTAAATCCTATGAACCTATCAGTGTGGCATTTGATAATATAAAAAGGGAAGGGTTTGATTACTCGGGATGCATCATCCTTGGTACTAGACCTTTGTGGAAGGACGTCATTATGAACAAGGGATGGGGCTTGGTGCATCCTCCTGTTGTGTTTTAGCAGTTAAGCCTTTTTCAGGTTAGTCTCCCAGTTATAAAAAGGATTGTTTTGTTTATATAAGGAGAGGCTTTATGTTGTTTTTCTTTTGGTCATCAGCATGCTAGTGGCCGTGGTCTTGCGTGATGAGCTTCCATGCATTTTGCTACATGGAAAATCTCTCTCGGTATGTGTGATGTGAGCTTGTCATGTGTTTTAATGAGTGTAATATTGTAGATAATCTGTTTTATATTCAGCAGGTGTAACTGCACATCCAGGGGTTTCCAGTAACTTGGTTGGAGACGAATGTACATCAGAGATGTGACTGCACTGCTGTTTTGTTTGTTGGGTGACTGTTTTAACTTTGTCTGTCTTGGTCTTATTTTGGTTAACTTGGTTTGTATGGGTTTTCTTTTATTCATCCATAAGCAGCCATTCATTAACTTGTGTGTGTGAGTTAGCAGGGAGACAAGATATTTGGTCTTGGTCGGCCATTTTGTTCCTCCCGTTGGTGCAGACAACTGCTCATTTTTATTTTATTATTTTTTTTGTTTGTTTGTTTTTTCTTTGTACAAGTAGTTGTCGAATCTGTATGTGTCTGATTTGATTAAGATTGTGTATAAAAACCAATGTGTTAAACGGTTTCATTTGTGTATAAATAAATGGCTTAATTTTTATACTTTGCCTATGTCTCCATGCTCACCCTGCCTTTGGCAACGAACCTGTGTGCCCTTGTATAGGGTTATGTCCCGGTATATTCCGGGTGGCGTAGTCGATTTGTATCCATTGCTGTTGGTAATTTCACCTACCTGACCACTTATTGCCACACACACATATATGAACCGTGGATATACAAGAATGATTCTTCACTCAGGAAGCAGCTACTGTAATTTGCACACCAATTATACATCTGGTACAACATCGTAGACAGCAGGCTAATATTCTCTAAATGGTGCTTTAAAAGCATAACTTTTACCAGCTCTGCGGTGTCATAGTGTTATATTTGAGTGGAATATACATACTGCTTTAAAAATTGAAGTTAAGTGATCTCTGGTGTAGTGCCTGAGACAGATCGGACAGATTTTTTTTTTTTTTTTATATATTTAGCAATCAACAATTCCCCTCACCAAACAAGCAAACCAGGTGCCAGTGGAACCACCAAACTGCAAACCAAAACCCAGCCTGAACCAAGATTCTGACCATAGCAGCAACGACACATCAGTAAGATACTATACATTCTGTCTCTGTCTCGCTGGCTCTGTCTGTCTGTCTAAATCATGTTTCATACACTACTGTCCCCATAAAGAGGTGAAGCACTCAGAATCAGCTGAAGAAATTGAATTGCTTTGCTATTATCATAATGCTGATATTACCTTTGGAAAAGGAAGAGTTTTTTCAGTTCAGACTTTGGGATCTCATTTCAAAGCCCAGGCCTATTAAATCTGATTAAGAGGGATTTCTCTAATGCTGTCTGATTTATAAGCTACTGAGATCTATGTCATGTAAGAGTTGTGATGAGTCAGAACAATTTATGAATAAACAATCTACAAAGTGACCTGAAACAAAAAGAAAACAGCCTTTGGAATTCGTTCACATCATTATATTTTATTTATAATTGCCTATTTTATATATATATATCATAACATATAATATTGTAATACATTAAATAATTAAAAAATATATAAAATAAACATTATACATTTTATTGTGTGTGTTTGTTTGTATGTTTAAATGTATTGTAACTTGCTTTGGATAGTGTTTTCTAAATGTAAAAACGTAAATGTCCATTTGAATTGCTTTTCAGTGTGCTATAAGTAATAAATTTCTGCTTGACTGACAATTTAAACGGTAAGGTAATTAGCGTCATCATAATTGGTATGGCAGTGTTTGCAATTCCATGCTGAGAAATAGCGATTCAGTATCCGTTATGAGATCTTCAAGTCAAATTAAACATTTCAAATTAAACAGTTACAAACCACTGTTGCACCTGCAGACAGGCGCTGGAATTAGTTTTGGGAGGAAGGGGACCTTTGACGTTTTTCTCATGAAAAGCAAACCTGAGAATTGTTCAGTGTAATTATTTGCATATGTTTATGCTAGTTATTTTGTTATTTAAAATTATTTCGTTATATTATGCAAAATAGAAGTGTATTCATTGTAAGTGATTACAGCAATAAAATATTGTTTCATATATTACAAGAGTGCCATTTTGACCAAAACATCACTATACCACTGTATACCACTGTAAAGACCCCATATATACACACACACACACACACACACACACACTACGAGGCTGTTGAATGCTTGAATCTGACTGGTTGACAAATGTTCTAAGGTGTGCAATTATTTTCAGGGAAACGCATGGCTAAAGTAGTTCCAGGTAGGTCTTGACCACATTACATGTCCATATCATTTCACCAAATGATTTCAAAGGTCCTTACAACCTATGACAGCAAAAGAACCAAAACCCCCAATGACACTGACCAAGCAAATAGATATAATCAAATTATTTCTATGTTTTGCCACAAAATTACGTTTTATTACGTACGGAAAGCACATACTCTCTTTCTCCAGTGCTCTCTCATACAAACGCACACACATACAGTGCAGACACACAATCGCACATGCGCACAGAAACATGTTGTCAGCGTCAGCACTCCTCTGGCAATTTTATCAGTAAAATAGCTCAATAATGTCAGAGTTACATGTCATGGCTTACAAGCGAGGTAATACGGTGCTGTTCTTGAAACAGATTAGATGAACTTACAGTTTTGCTATTAGTCAAGTCAAGTTACCTTTATTTATATAGCGCTTTATACAATACTGAAAAAGCTTTACAGTGTCAAACAGGAAAATAGTTTGTCAGTGATGCAAGAGGACAATAACAAAGATTCATTTTTTAGCTAAAGTCACTTCATTAATGATTCAGTGATGTCATCATCCAGTTCAGCTCTCTTCCAATAGTGTCTGTGCAATCAGTCAAGCATCCCCAACTAAGCAAGCCAAAGGTGAAAGTGGCAAGGAACTCCATTGGTGACAGAAATGGAGAAAAAGCCTTGGGAGAAACCAGGCTCAGTCGGGGGCCAGTTCTCCTCTGGCCAGAAGAAACCAGCATGGCGTGGTTTAATTCCAGGCTGCAACACAGGCCAGATTTTGCAGAGGACTTGTCTGGTTCCCGTGGTCTATAGCCTATAAGCCTATAAGTTAGCCTATAAGGTGATTAGTCTGATTAGCATGACACACACACGCACACACAAACAGAAACATATGAATACTCAAATGGAAGAAATCTGTTGTTTCAGGTTTCTAGACTCTAGAGGCCCTATTTTAACGATCTAACCACATGGTCTAAAGCGCACGGCGCAGGTGCACTTAGGGCATGTCGAAATCCCCTTTTGCTAGTTTAATGACGGGAAAAACGGTCGGCGCGCCCAGCGCATGGTCTAAAAGGGTTGTCCCTAGTCTCTGGTAGAGTAATGGGTGTGTTTTGGGCATAACGTGCAATAAACCAATCAGAGTCTCATCTCCCATTCCCTTTAAGAGCCAGTTGCGCTCGTGCCATGGCGGATTTGCTATTTACATGGCGGAATTTGCAAGCGCAAAGACAGAACGCATTTTCAGAGATGAAACGGAGCTGCTCGTGTGTGAGCAAATACAGACCAGGTTTTTGTTGGTCGAAGGCGCAGTCTTTTTCAGTTGCCTCAAAATAGCAACGCGCCAGCAATGCTCCTGAACACACCTCGTTTTCAGACCAGACCATGGGCGCGCAAATGCATTTGCTATTTAAACAACGTGGCGCAGGACATGAAAATGACAACTGCGTTGGGCTGAAACTAGCAAAAAACACTTGCGTCATGCCTGGCGCCGCATTGCGCCGGGTGTATGATAGGACCCTAGGTTTATGTTCATCATTGTCATATTATACATTTTGCGTTGGCCTATTTGGGAGAAAATCCAGGGCCGTTTTTTACTCCCAGTCCGTCCCTGTTTGCAGGGGATCTGTCTCTGGAGCTCATCTAGTTGACATGGTCTCCGCTGACATTCAGGGCTGTAGAGGTCGTCTCTAGGTGCTGATCCACCATTTGGTTTGGATATGGACGTGATCTGGGTGGCTACGGTGACCATCTGATCTGGATACAGACTGGAACTGTATGGCTACGGTGACCTCGGAATAAAAATAAAAGAGGGTGTTATGGGAAGTGTTCCCGGTTCCGGTTGACCTAATTAATGCAGCCTAACAATCCTTTAACGGATTTGAATTATAGAAATGTGATAGTGTGTTATGTGTATGCCAGGTTAAAGAGATGGGTCTTTAATCTAGATTTAAACTGACAGAGCGTGTCTGCCTCCCGAACAACGCTAGGTAGATTGTTCCAGAATTTGGGTGCTAAATAGGAAAAGGATCTGCCGCCTACAGTTCATTTTGATATTCTAGGTATTATCAAATGGCCAGAGTTTTGAGATCGCAGCGGACGTGAAGGACAATAATGCGATATAAGCTCGCTCAAGTATTGAAGAGCTAAACCATTCAGGGCTTTATAAGTAATTAGAAACATTTTAAAATGTATTCAATGTTCAATAGGGAGCCAGTGCAGAGTTGACAGAACCGAGCTAATATGTTTGTACTTCCTGGTTCTAGTAAGAGCTCTAGCTGCTGCATTTTGGACCAGCTGAGGTTTGTTTATTAAGCGTGCAGAGCAAATACCCAATAAATTTTACAATGTTACATTACAATAATCTAACCTTGAGGTCATGAATGCATGAATTAACATTTCTGCATTTGATATTGAGAGCATAGGTCATAATTTAGATATATTTTTAAGACTGAAAAATTAGATTTTACAAATGCTAGAAACATGGTTTTCAGAGGAAAGTTTGCTATCAAATAGCACACCTAGGTTCCTAACTGATTACGAAGAATTAACAGAGCAGCCATCAAGTGTTAGACAGCGTTTTAGGTTATTACATGCGGAGGTTTTTGGTCCAATAATTTTTTTAGAATTTAGCAGTAGGAAATTAATAGTCATCCAGTTTTTTATATCAACTATGCATTCAGTTAGTTTTGAGAATGGGTATGTTTCATCTGGCTGCGAAGAAATATAGAGCTGAGTTTCATCAGCATAACAGTGAAAGCTAACACCATGTTTCTTGATGATATCTCCCAAGGGAAACATGTAAAGCGTGAAAAGCAATGGTCCTAGTACTGAGCCTTGTGGTACTCCATACTGTACTTGTGATCGATATGAAACCTCATCATTCACTGCTACGAATTGATGATGGTCAGATAAATAAGATTTGAACCATGACAACGCAATTCTACTAATGCCAACATAATTCTGTATTCTACTCAAAAGAATGTTGTGGTCGATAGTGTCAAACGCATCACTAAGATCCAGTTGCACCAATAGAGAAATTCAATCACAATCAGATGATAAGAGAAGGTCATTTGCAACTCTGATGAGAGCAGTCTCAGTACTATGATACAGTCTAAATCCTGACTGGAAATCCTCAGACACGTGCACAGG